CCCCCCCCCCCCCTCTCCCTCTCCCCTCTTCCTCCAATCAGCGAGGGAAAACGGCACGAATGAGTAAGCTTCATAAAAATCACACCATCGACCATGACGTCAACTCACGCTCTGATTCGATGGGCAGCAACCAGCTGGGGTGCAGAGCACACGGAGAACCAGCGGACGATGTTGGCGTCACATGGACGACCATCAAGGATTCCAGCAACAGACAATTGCAATTGAAGTTGGCGTCAACATGGACTCTGGCTGGATCGTTTGTTGATACGCTTGGTTCCTCATGCATCACTTTGTTCCGCCATGACATGCAATCGGAGATCGCATAATTTCGGAACCCCCTGCGCGTCACATATGTGACGAACCACTTCCCGAACCCGTGCTATCTTCCGCACCCCTTTTTGCTTGTATCATACCAACCCCATAAAAACCCCGTTTTGTTTTCTTGATTTTGGGTACCGCGTTCTTGGCTCCCATCTTTCGAAAAGATTTTTCGACTTCCGGGTTCTGCTTTTCCTTTCTGCAATTCGAGAAATACATGGGAAATTACGTGCGCCTTAGCGAGCGCACTGGGAATTGGGCTCGGCAGTTGAAAATTCCAGGATAAGCGGAACATCAACATGTCCTTTCTGTGTGTGTGAATGTTCTTGGTCGCGTCGGGAAAAACTCTCGGAATTTTGTGCGAATACGAATAGGTATAGGATTTTCTTTTCCCGCGTCGCTCGTTCGCGTGCGGATATGGTGATTTCAAGTTTGAATTAGGTTGTAACTGTTTCGGTGCCTTTTTCTCTTTTTTTGTTGACGGCGCCGCGCGTGCAAAGCTTTCTCCTCTCTCTCCCCCGCATCGCTCCCTCCCGTGCAACTTTCCCCTTCTCCCTTCTCTTTCTCTCGCACCGTAACTGTTTTCTTTCTCTCTCTCCCTCTCCCGCCTTGCTCTTTGCGCGCCCCTTTTCCTTTCTTGATCATCTGAATCTTGGACCCGTCTTGCGCCACTTCTCGCGCCTTTTCT